TGAGAAAACACCTACAGGAAGGCGTGATCGACAGAGCGACAAAGCTCTTCATGCAGACGAGAAAACACCTACAGGAAGGCGTGATCGACAGAGCGACGTAGCTCCGCACGCAGACGAGAAAACACCTACAGGAAGCGGCATCGCCAGCCGCCACCCAGCATCCGTCGCCGACGCAAGCCTCGGACATCCGCGCAAGCCCGCAGGTGGCAGCACGGGTCGCGCGAGCAGGCTGGCCGCGAGAGCGTCACCGCATCATCGCAGTGAGAGGGCAGCACTGTTTGCAGACCGGCGCGTGACTGCGGGGTCTCCGGAGGACGATTGGAAGGCGCTGCTACTGCTGGTGCCTATGAGGCTCGGCAGTGACATCCTTAATGATCTATACGAACCTTGTATCAAGCGCATTCTGGCTCATGACTCATGCATCGGTATCATGGGCGGACGGCCGAAACACTCGCTCTTCTTTGTCGGCTGGCAGGGTAAGTCTCCATCTCTCTTTCTCTCTTTCTCTCTGTCTCTCGTGTTTTCGTCTCTGTCCTTCATGCTCTTTTATGCTCCTTCATCTTTCTTTTATCTTTCTCACTTTCTTTATGTCCCTTTCTCTCTCTCACTCTTTCTCTTTTGTTTTGAGCTGTCACTTGAATTAAAAACACCTCTCTCCCTCTCTCTCTCTCTCTCTCTCTCTCTCTCTCTCGCTCTCTCTCTCTCTCTCTCTCTCTCTCTCTCTCTCTCTCTAACTGCTTTACTCTTCTTTGTGTTCTATCATAGCTTAATGTTCGTCTGCAACCTCTTAAAATTTGCACTAGAATTTGGTTACAGGTGTTAGTGATGTCTCGCCCCTCTACCAAGTTAAATATGCCCCGATCTTTCAACATGTTGAAAATAACGACGAAATGTGAAGAATGCGCAGATAATTTAGAAGTAGGAAATACTATAAATAGATTGAACAATTTTACGTTGCACACAAGAGACAGAGACAATTTACGTGCAAATACCAAATATCAAATTCCTGCACACCTTGAGCGTGAAGTGATAAACGCATTCGTCTAAAATTAGAGCTTCAGCTCTCGACCAGGGTAATAAACGCTTCTAACGCTAAAGCCGTCAGCACGTGTCATCAACCTGCATGGGGTCAGTGGTGGAAGGACCGCCTCGGTCACATTTCTGTCCAATGGCAGTCTCTTAAGAAGCAGTCTAGAAGCATATAGCCAATGGGCATTTAAACACTGCCCCTGTGCACGCATCCGTGACTAGGATCTAGTCATGGGATGTCATTGTTGTTTCAGGCACTCATTTCACCACTAATCACTGAACCACTGGAGTTCCTTTATATTAAGGAAAATTTCTAGCATATTTCTAAGCCGCCACTAACTGACAAAAATTCTGTTCTGTATTATAGGCCACAGTGCGAGATAAATGGTTAAAATGGCAAATACTTCTTTTCTATTTTTTGTTTAATCATACACATGCACGTTTGTCATATAAATACGCTCCACAATAAATTATATATTCCTAAGACCCTGTCGGCAGCTCATTTCATATTTTGTAGATTTTCTTTTTTCTTTAAGCACATAAAGCGATGTTTTGTCCTGCGTTATCCTCTGAAATAAAAGCATTTTGAGAAAGACAGGCAGCTAGACCACATAGCGCTGAAGTCTGACGAGACACTACCAAATAGTTGCTGGACAAAGACAGCTGGCAGCAAAAACGCGACTTGATGCGAAGGACCGCAAGAAAAACACGCGAAACAAGACGGCGCAGATGCAGGATTTAGGGGAAATGCCTTAAATTTGTGTATATTATCTTTAAATTGAATTCGGGTCAGCAGTTAAAGGATTGTAAGTATAGGATATACGACCACGCAGACAACTATTATACTATAAATAAATATAAATAATTTTTCTTGAAACAGACTGGGATAACTACACAAAGCGATATTGCTGTAGAGTAAGTAACAACCATTCATTAACAATTTTGCCATGATTAGGTAATGTTGCTCCTATTACATTATTATAAAGCGTTATAGCAGGATGTAAAACATGAATATGACTCTACATTTAGAAGAACGTCATCGTGTGGTCGTCTCAATTACAAATCTGACAAATCAAGTTGGTCGCAGCGAGCACTGCGTTTACTCCCGCTGTTGCTCGGGCACATGTAAACGCGTCTGCTGACCAGGCAAGTAAAGGACAGATTGACCAACGGTCAGCTTTCCACTGGCACGCGTCCCTAGTCGCGTGCCACTATAAAAGCCGAACGCTACTTCGCGCCTTGTATCGCTGCGATCAGTTCCCGAGGGAGGGGGCTCGCTGCCGTGGCGGTTATAGGGCCCATTGACCAGCGGTCAGCTGCTTATCACAAGGGGGTGTTGTAAGTTAATAGTGTTGTAAATAGGTGGACACACTGTTTACATTGTGGAGCTACTTGGTAATGCAAATAACCCTAAGTGGATTAGCTCGTTTACGCCTGCTACTATCGGCTGACCAGTCAGTCCTCTCGTGGTCAAGGCAGTCACGCGCCCCGTGGTTCATTCACGGCGCGTAGCATTGTGATTAAATTACCGAGCAAGATCGTAGACGTGGTGGCAAGAAAGAAATCACAACCAGTCAAAGTCAGCAGCAGCAGCAGCAGCAGCAGCAGCAGCAGCAGCAGCAGTAGCAGTAGTAGCAGCAGCAGCAGCAACAACAACAACAACAACAACAATATAATAATAATACCTTAGTCAAGCAAATAATAATAACTTAATAAGAATTCCTCATGGGGTGTGAGGTGTGATGTGGGGTTCATCTTTAAGAATGGGTACATTTGTGGAGGGGGGGGGGGATTTACATGATAGCAAATTGAACACGGTACCGCGTGATTTCAAGAGCTAATAATACCTAGGTATTATTAGCTCTTAATGATTTCAATTTTCTAAACACTTTGTATAATTATATTGTTCGCGATTCAATTAGTTACATGTACACAACTAGTTCGTACTCGTTGTAAGTGGTGGTAATTTTACGAAATTAATGTGGTTTGTTAAAATACGTTAAAATACATTCGTTAAAATACCTCAATAGTTTATTTAAAGGGACAGTAGCCTCTAGGATTTTACTGCATACAACTGTACTTACTGTATAACAAATCATCTATACACACACGTATTTGTTACCAGATAACTAATTTAATTGTTATAATTAATTACACATCAACGCTCCGAAATTTGAACAGCGCCATGACACCCGCGACCGGGCTGCCACCCCGAAAAAGTTGCGTATTTGACCATTTATTTTGCACGTTACAGACCGAGGGCTAATCACAAAAGTGCAATTATATTTATACCTAAATGCTATTTAACCGAACGATATTCATTTTAGGGCAAATTTATCCATATTATAACTGAAACTATATGTCGTTTATAAGATATTACAATCCTTTTGCTTTTAAATGAACAAATAAGAAACACCCTCGATCTGTAGCCTTTGGCTGAAAAGTGGTTTTGCGCAACTTTTCAGATCGTGCGCTTAGAGCGGCGCCACCGTCGTTGTAATCAAACTGTAGTCGTTAGTTTTAAAACATTTTTTAATAATATTTCTAATATTTCATTGAACCATGAAACTTTTTATGTAGCGTAATTTTAACCTAAATTAACTGAAAATAACCATACAACCTAGAGTAAACGATCCCTTTAAGTTATTAAATTGTTCTCGACAATAAGTAACACTTATTTGCTCACCGGGAGAACGATTAAATAACGTAACCGTACGAACAAGTTACGTTTTTGGTCGACCAAAATGCATAGATATCAAGAGTACATAATAGAGATCTCTATTATGTACTCTTGATATATCTATATACTACACATAAATTTTATCAAACTTAAAGGATAAACTAATGACAAAGTAACCAACTCTGTACTCTTTAAACGTGGCAAACAACCTAATTTTATGCACATTATAGGCATTATATCTGCGATAATTTTACCCGTATGAATCCTCTAAAAGTTTCGTATAAGTGTGTTTATCATCTGTGTGCTTGTGTGCTCATAGCACGCCGCTATAACAGGTACATATGTGTGTTTTATCATGAACCCGACTAAATCGATTTTTATATTTATTATTAATTGATGGTCGACTCATTAGTTTGTGGATTGCCAAGTGACCAGTACATTTACAATGCGTTATTACTAATTGCACTAAATACTCCCTCTAAACATATTTTGTTCAATCCCATGGTTCAATCCACCACCCACAGTTCACGTACACTGGTTCCATGCTGCGCAGCCGGAAACGTGCTCTTACAAATTTAATAGTTTTAGAAACATAACAGGGAATGCCCTGGTCTATTTCCACTACTGTGCGAGATCGAACGTTAAAGTGATTACGTCACCGTAAATAGTAAAAATAAAAAAAATATTTCCACTTTTTCACAAAATATAAGTAATTCTGTTCACTTTTTATGGTTAAATTGCTGCATTATACTTCCTGTTTTACTATATTGTTTGATGTGAACATACACTCGTGACTCATACATAGCCCATAGCAAGCAATTAATGTTGGGAACATTAATATCAAATCGTCCAGGTTTTTTTGGATTTTTAACTAGTTGAGAAACAATCTTATCAGGTAAGAATTTGACGATACGTTTAGTCCCATTAATTCTTACTTTTAATGTAAAAAAATGGGATTTTTTTTTACAAATTTGACCATAGAAAATTCGTGACGTAGTCAATTTAATGAGTGTGTGAACTCCACGTGACTGAAAATGCAGATGCACGTGGAAAGCACACTATCATTATATGCGCACGAACAACGTATACGGATAAAACATTATGGGTGGGGGAGTCACATGTGTTTACATAGCAAGTAGATCTAAAGGCACTTGATTCAATTATATTGTTGTTATCACATTGCATTTTCCGTAAGGCGACTTGGTTAGCCGAGGAATTGGTCTGCAGCCTAAAGAGCGCGTTGTGGAGGTGCCTGTTTAATCAATACATGTACATGTATGTGTGTGACCGGTTAGCATGCTCGTATATATACATTACACTGTTTGTGATATTTAACTGTTTGTGAGTTTTTAAACGTTTAGCCTTTCGGGTAACACAAAAAGCTAGCTAGGTGGACAGCGAATAGAGGTGGGTTATCACCTGATATTTCATGTTTTCATGTTAGAAATTCGAGTCTGCCGATTTGAGATCTGTAGACCAAGCTGGTATCTGCACACCTGCATGTGCGGGAGTATCACGTTTAATGTACGTATTCATATATTGCTATTACATGGTCGGCAGTCAATCAATATCTGTAATGGTGAATTTATGGTTACTGATATAATAAAGAGGAAAGACAAAATTACATCATTAAAAACACGTATACGATCACGCGCACTCAAAATCTGTCAAATTTGTCTGCCTATTCGTCGGGTAGGGGGGGGGGCACGCGCACATGCACACACATACAGCCACAACATACACACTGCGCAGGTTGCTCTGCAGCCAACAATCTGGTCAGTAACCCGCTGCAGTACCTACATGGCTGCCATATTTTTCCCGAACACCCCTGTCTGGTAACATGGTATGCGCCAGCCCACAGTGGCCATTACTCCCCGATTACATGTCGAATAGGATGGCCAACCTGTCTGCTTGGTGTTCCATTCTCAGACAGGGAAGGTCGCCGAGGCTATGGTGCGCCGATCTGGTATGGTTATTTTTCAATTTTTCTTTGTTTGGTTGTGTTTAGTGTTACATATGCTACATGACCGAGTACATGTGTGTGATACCCGTGGTACTCTACATGTCGTGATCGTGAACTACAGTGGACTCTCCTGGTATTTCTTCAGCGTACGTCTCTCACTGTATACAAAATCCTCGGGCAGATATTGGTTTTCAGACAGTGAGCACTCTCACAGTTTCGTCAGG